TATATATATATATGGGGATTTTGTCCCACATTAGTAGTCGTAGCCTTCTTAGATCCAAATTGTATTTATTTTTTATTAGTTTAGTATTTAAAATGTATTATTTTTATTGTGTTCTGTTGTTAATTATAATGTGCTACTCCTTTTTAATTTACATGTTTATTTAATGTTAATGAACTTACAAAATCACACAGATCAGGGTTTAAACTGACTTTAGACACATTTCTGTAACAGGGTAGCTAAAATTACAAATCTTGTATACAGTAAAATCTTTCAGGAAACAAAAACTTTACAATATGATTACATTAGGACATTTACATTATGCCACATACTGTACCAGTTTTATAATCCATAGGGCCATGCAGTTTAAGCGGGTATAGGACCATCAGCACAGGCTGACTCACTGCTCTGGTATTATTAATGCTGCTTACGCCTTCATCCTCTGTATGCCATTTACCATTCATGACAATACCAATCCATTTTTAATCAAATTTATTTGTGTCAGATGTTATTGAATCTTGTTGGTTATTTATCTTATGCTGAATGTGTTGTAGCAATTGTATTGTGTCTGTCTAGGTGCTGTGCACTGGCTTGGATATTAAATATGCATGTTCTGTACATACCATCTAGTTCCTCTGGCAGTAAATCTCTGTCCTGGTGAAAGTAAATGGGAGAGAGAGCGAGAGAGAGGTAGAAGGACAAGAGAGATGAGAGAGCAAAATGACCATGAGGAAAAAAAAATCGTGACACAAAAACAGCTAAATATGGAAATTATTACAGCATGAGAGCTGAACGTCCTTAGAGACATCGCCCATTTTTAATCACTAATAACTGAGGTTTATGTTAGCACGCTTATCAAAGCTGCTCAGTGGCACAATGACGCATAGAGTGTGGTGGGGGGGGGATTGTATAATTGGATTACACCATAACATGCCCTACAATGCCTCACGTCAACGCTCATACAAACAAAGAACGGCAGAGAGATTCAGGGGGAAAAATTAACTAAGGGGCAATGTGTATTAAAGGAAAAAGAGAAAGAACGTTTAGGAGCGAAACGGTTTAAAAACTATTATTATTGCTGTATTTCGTAAATAATATCCTCGAATCCAGCTTTATTTAGATTCATGCACATATGCATGCTTTAATATGTTAAAATCATACAAATACACATACATATACGCTATACAAATAAAGTTGATTACAAACAAATATGCAGTATCTGCTAGCACTTTCAGAAATAGATGCATATGTACTAAGGCATAAACATACATATGCATGCATGTTTATTAACGTTTTTTTTCTTCATGTAACATTTTTTAAGCGAACCCGTCCTGTAGCTTCACTGTATATTGAAAAACGTCTCGGTTACGTATGGTAACCCTCGTTCCTTTTTGGCATAGGCCAGGGCTTCACAAGAGGACCCCAGCTACTGCTACTATGGCACTACCCAATGAGTAAGACTGGATAACACTGGGAAAACGTACCCGTTCTACTTGGAACAGGGACGTTACGGAAGCTCCAACGTTCCCGAAGGAGGTTTCGGAAGCAGTACACATATGAACATTCCTTAGGTGCATATGGAAGAATGGAGGTGATTGTAACCCTCTTGGAATGGCAGAAGTCTGCCGGGGAAACACGGGCTCAAGGCTATACCGTGGACTTTACACATATGGGA